CTAATAACGGAAAGAAGAGGAAGCGTTGAAGAAGAAAAATGTATTGCTAAATATTATTGTATTCTGTAACTTTATGTTTTTTATTGGTTAAATTTAGAACTTTATTATTTCATTTATTCTATCTAAAAGAAAAGTATTTGGATGAAAAATCTCATTGATTCAAAGAATTGTCAATTAATCTAAATTCATATGTAAAAAATGAAATAAATCAAGACGCATAAAGTTCACACATGCCATTTAGTGAACTTAAGAAAAATTAAAATTCATCATTTTAAGGAGTATATACTCTTTTTAATTTTAAAACATAAAATAATATTATTAATAATCTTTATATTTTTTTTTAAAAAAAGTGTATTGATTGATATAGGTACATGAGCGGAGGGTGAGCCCATAAACTATTATTATTATTATTTATTATTATAAGTGGGAAGATTTTAACTTCAAAGTTGGATTATGATTTTACCCCTTCACTAAATTTAAATATTATTAAAATGACTAATTAATAAAATATTAAATAATACTTATATGGTATTAATCCATTATATATTTCTAGGTAGAATTAATTCATAGAATATTTAATTTATTTTTATTCTAAAATGGAGTACGGTAGATGAAGTATTCACGGAATATTTAATTTATTTTTATTCTAAAATGGAATTCAATAGATGAAGTGTTTTGTAACAACAAAAGACAGTAAATTATATTTGACGAGAGAGAGTTGCTCGGATGGTAACCACCCCTCACTTCCAACCCGAAGTTGCGAGTTTGAGTCACCAAGGGAGCAAAATGGGTGGGAGCTCCTAGGGAGGGTTTAAAAAAAAAAAGAGTAAATTATATCCTTTAAAAACTGAAATATCCACTAACATTAAAGAACAAAACGTCCTTTGAATTATCATACATCTTAATATGGCATACATATTTAGATTTTAGTCAGAAACTTCACATATCCCAACTTTAACCAATCTAATTCTCATTGATGTTATGTATATCATCAATTTTTAAATGACTTTTATAATTCCAAACTTGTAATAATACATACCAAAAAATTGTTTTCAAAATCATTTTATATTAATGCATACACTTAGTTATTCCGATGTATAATTGTTGATGAATGATTATTGGTGGATGTAATTACATTGCTCATCACAGTCACTTTTTGTTAATGCATACACTTTGTTATTCTAATGTATAATTGTTGATGGATGATTGATGATGGATGTAATTGCTCATCACATATGCAATAAAAAAGAATTAGATCTATTTATGTTTTTGTTAGTTATTGAAGAAGTTCTTCTATTCTTTTAAACTGGAACTATTTCTCTCTTTAATTTTTGTTATAATTTAAAAGTTTTAGAATTCATTAGCTATTTTATTGTTTTTAGTCTACTCTATTTCATTTTATTTTCGAATTTTTGTGGGATGAACATAATGTACTTCTGAAATTGTATAATTTATTGTAATGCTATAATAATGTAATGGATATTGATAAGTTTTTATATATTCTCTTCAAACATTATGTGAGATCTTTGCAACTAAAACTCATGTGAAATTTACAATTTCTTAAAACTATTTGATATGATTGTCAGATTGTCCATTTGATGTTAAACTTTAATTTGGTGTTACACTCCTCTTTTGATTACTTAATTTTATGAATAACTATTCATACATATTGTAACTGTATTTAAATCATTTACAAATATTTATAATAACTAGCATGCAATACAAGTATATTTTCTATTCTGAAATTCAAATTTTTAAGTATATAGACATCTTGTAGTAATTACAAGGGACAAACGTGCAACACACGTTTCCAAAAGCTAGTGTTATAATAAGTAGGAAGCTCCAAAGTGAAAAGTTGAATTACCATTTTGCCCCTTTACTAAATTAAAATTTGATCAAATATAAATATTTTAATTACATAATGGTAGAATTTGAAGTTCTTAAACCCTTCGATAATTAAATTATCATTTTCTTGATAAATGAGTACATTCATATTGCTTTTAATCGTAATCATAAATCTCATAATGGAAGAATTTGAAAAGTTATGATATGAAAAGTCATTCATCACTTTAATGTAAAAATCAATTTCATAATTAAAATTTGAATTTAAAGGGTCATTTCTTAATGCTATTTAAGAACCAACTTACAAAAATGAAAGCTCACAATAGGAAATTGAATTATGAAAATTACACAATTCAACATGAGAAGATATGAGAGTAAGAAGTTGCAAGTGAGGAATGAGGATAACCAAAAGATATTGAAAATTGGTAATAAAGAAGAAAAAATAGCAGCGAAAAAAGAGAGTAAATTTAATATATGTGTAGTATTAAACAGTGAACAATTTTATGTTGATATGTTGTCTCTAATAATAACAAAGTTTTCTTTTGAGAGCATGAGGACTTTCTTTGCAATATCCTCAACTTTTCGTTCTTGCTTTCTTTCTCCATTATAGAATTTTTCTTCCATGAAGCATTTAGAATTGTATGGGTATTGACTTGAAGTATAGATATCAATTTAAAGTATGTGTAGAAATTTTCTAATTGTGCATTTAAATGAGAAACATTAATCATTTTTGCACATACTAATATATCATATGTTTGGACCTAATAACTTAAAAATGTAGCTCATTATTTTAGTTACCAAACTAAATTTTGCAGGTTCATCAAATGTCTAATCATTTGACATACAATAAAGAAGTTATTTGAATACATTGATTGTTCATCTATTATAAATTATATAGTATTTTTTTGAATAGCTTGCGATACTGATTAAAATGTGATTTGACAGTAAATTAAACATCTAATTGATTTTATAATATTATTTTAATTATTTTTTGAATTGTAAGTTATTTATTAGAAAGAGAATGTAGAAGAATAAGAGCCAATAAAGATTTCTAGAATTTTAAATAAGCAATATTTTTATTCTATTCTATAAGACAAGAGAGATATTTTAAGGAAGTTAATCATAAGGTAGTGTACCTGTTAGTTTTTGCTACTTTATTTTGTCTTTTAAAACAAATATAAAATTTATATATCGAAATTATAATAAGGAGATGACTAAATACAAAAGAGTTTCTTCTTATGAGTTGACTATACACTATAAACATTTATCATTTTACTTTTTTTTTATGCAACTCAAACACAAGTTTAAAAGAAATTATGTGATTTTTAATAATTCATATTCATCTTTATGGAGTACATGTGCAACGCACGTGCCCAAAGTAGGAAGCTTTAAAATGCTACACTAAATCATAATATTATAAATCATTTAACTAATCATTAAATAAGAAAACATGTATCTCTAAGAGAAACTACCAAATAACCACATATAATACTAATTCAATTGGTTTGCATTTAAACACAATTAAGAGTTTTTTTTTCTTTTGCATAATCTTTTTTAGGTAGAAAAATGTGTAAATTATTATAGGTAGATAAATATATCTCAAATCTAATATAAAAATTGTGTTGAATGTTCTATAAAAAAAATATTTTAAGGAAATATTGTATTCTTTTACATCATAGAGAAACATGTATGCATGTTTAATATAAAGTAACTATTATATATATAGTATCAAAACTACCTTAATTTATATTTTAACTTCACAAATATTAAATCCATTTTCAATGTAAGTGTAACGAGGTTAAAATATAAGATTAATATTTATGCTTAGAAACTTGTATTTTTCGATATACTTTAATATCTATTTTTATCATCTAACATATCAATTAAAATTGTATATAAGATTTTTACACCAACTAATAGAAATATACGTGCAACGCATGTAACCAATACTAGGGGGAAAAAAAGAGGAAAGAAAATGTGAAATGCCCTTCTTTTTTTTTAGAATGAAGAGAGGGAGAGGATAGTCGGGGTGAATCAATTATTCTTCGAGTTTTGAACTGTGGTCTCCATTAGCCCTCTGAGATTTCTCAGTTATAGAAAAGGACACAACAATCGTGTACCTTTTCAATCAACGTTTTATAACATCAAATTTCATGTGCTTTGAGCTATCGATCTATATATATTTATATATATATATACATTAATGTTTTGTGTGATCCATTTATGGTATTGCTTGTAAGTTGAATCTAGATGTGAAAAAATGTACAATGTGTTTTATATTGTTATTTAGTATAGCAAGAATTGAATGTTGGAAAAGGGTTAGATACGTTAATGCATTTTACTTACTATTCACAACTTAGTTGATTTGACTCAAGTTTCAAATTGATTGTATCGTATTCACATGGTTTAGTGATTAATGAAATAAAATTGGTCGAGATAGTGATAAATGTTCGTGACGATAAAAAAAATATCGAATAATTTTCTTCTATTTATTTAAATTGTAGGAGGAAGAATAATTCTAAATTGTAGGCATAGTAACGACTAACCAAACAAGGGTGAATACTTATTTATATTGGATATTTGCATCAAATCAATTTTACTTATTGAATTTAGGTATTTTTAATGTAACGAGAATAGGTACGTTGTATGTATACATATATATCATACATTTATTTATTTGATGTGAACACTTGATACGAGTAAATTTTTATCTTACTTACGTGTATATTTATGATTAGGTTGACATTTTTTATTTTTATTTTTGCCGACCCAAACCAAGAAAAAACACTAAAAATAGCTACAAGTAGCGTGTCATTTGCCCACTTCCCTCCACTAGCTATCCAAAATACCCACCAAAGAGCACAACTCCTTTAAGATTCCTTTCTCTCCCTTTGCCAAATTACTTATTTGGTCACATTTTTGTAAAAATAAATAAATGTTTTTGAATAATAACATAAATTATTTCTTTAAAAGATGAAAAGAATAATTTCCTTTAAGAGTATTTTTAATATTTGAAAAATACTTCAACAAAAAGATTTCTCAATATAATTTTACGAGCTCAGTCGATTTGCTATTTGAATTTTCACCTTACTTGTGTAATTCAACTTTCCACCTCGGAATCCCCTCTCCCATTTACTCTACACCCAATTTTTATTTATTTGTTGAAAAAAAACTAAGTACTTGGCCAAAACAAGTTATATATACCAAAACTTCACACACACACACACTAGAGCTCACATAATCTTGTAAAAATGGCAACTTCAATTCTCCTCTCACACCCTTTTTCTCCTTTATTATCAAAACAACACCATAAAATTCCAAGTCCCAAACAAACCATAGCCATAGCATATCACTCCACCAACAAACCCACCACCAAGACTCCATTTTTATCATTTCCAACTTCCTTTTTTCCATTTCCCTCAAACCCCAGAAAGGAATTTTGGCCAATTTCAGTGGGAAGAACACAAACAGATGAAAAAGATGAAATCTTGGTGGTGGGTGAAGATTCTGCTGAATTTGAGTTATCCAAACAAAAGATTTCATCTTGGGTTTATTTTACTGGGATTCTTGGTGTTGTGCTTTATGTTCTTAATGTTGTTTGGATTGACAATTCTACTGGATTTGGAAAATCATTCATTGATTCTGTTTCTAGTATTTCAGATAGCCCTGAGGTGGGTATTTTTGCTTAATTGCTTTATCTGTTCTGTTTTTTATTTACTTTTGCTGAATTGGGTTTTGAGATATTGATTTCGATTATGTTCTTTACTTGGTTATAGTAGTTGTATAAATTGTTAGAACAGAAAAAAAATGATATCTTTTCTGAAAGGTATAACGCATAAATATGTCCTTTTAACTTGGCATATGTATGTCTGTGCACAAGTAGACGCTTAAACTTGTATAAAGTTAAACACATAGAAAAATGCGTTCTATGTGTATTAAGAATAATTTCTTACTTGGGATTCCATTATTCTATTTTCTGTTTCTTAACTTTATTGGATAGTGATTATAAATTTTTGTAGTTTTCTGGAAGGGGGCGGAGTTCCCACTTCTTCCTAGCTCATTTGCACTCCTTGTAGCAATTCTGCCAAAGTTTAGTTATTTTTCATATGCATATTTTCTTATAGTAGTGTTCTAGCACACCTTTACTATTTTACCGGTTACTTATATCCTCTTATCGATATAGGTATTAGGTAACTTTATCCACCAAGCGTTAGGCAAATAGGAAGAGATTATCAAACTCTTATTTGTTTTTGGCCGCTGTCGGGATTTAAACCCTGGTCTTCATTCTAGTCTCAGTGACCGCTAGCTCACACCCTTGTGCGACATCACCCACTGATTGTTGTGTTATGAATTTGTTTTTACAATGAAATGTGGCTTAAGACTTTCAAGTTCTGCTATCTAGGCTTTAGCATCTAATTGAGCCGAGGGTCTATTGGAAACAACCTCCCTACCCCGCAAAGGTAGGGGTAAGGTTTGTATACATCATACCCTCTCCAGACCCTATGTTGTTGTTGTTGTTGTAGACTAGCATATAAATTAAAGGTGGCAACACCAGTCATCCTGGCCCTCTGTATTTTAAAAATCAGGAATTAGTTTAATTTATCAGCACAGTTAGGGATTGAGCTTGTAGGATCAAGCTTTTAAGCTTTATGGAGATGAGAAAAAGATAGATAAAATCTTTATCTGCAAACTTTCATTCATAATAATTTCGTTAAATTCTTTTATTGATTTCAATATTGTTATTTTCTTCTTTGTTTGTTTGTCACTTGGTGTTAGTCTTGTGTAGTTACTTTAAATAATACAAACGAAATTATGAATTGGTTTACATTCAAGACTTTTACAAGGGGAAGCTTTTGTTAGTATAGTTTTATCAAAGAACTCTATGAGATACCAATTGATAGTCAAACAAGAACCAACGAAGGAGGGTCGATTTGAAGTTGTTAACCAACAAGGTTTCTTATGTTTGGGCACATGTAGAATAACATTATGTCTTCGCCTTGCAATGAAGACTATATAGCCTTGATAATGCTCGGAAAGTATTTATTTGTTCTGGTTCATTCTGTCACTCTTCTTGGCTTGATAATAGGCAAGTGATGCATTAAATTCTCGATGAATCATATTGGCCAACATAAAGTTGTCTTGATTTCTTTTCTGTTTGTTTCTTTCTTTGTATACATACTTAGTTACTTTGCGTCCATTTTGGCTTTCTTGGTAACCAGCATACACTATAATTTTTTTTATTTTGCATACATAAATTTCTGTTTGCTGAGAGTGTATCCAAATGTTTCTATGCAGATTGTAATGCTTTCCCTTACCTTGATTTTCGCTATAGTCCACAGCGGTCTTGCTAGTCTTAGAGACAAAGGTGAGGAACTCATTGGAGAGCGTGCTTTTCGTGTATTGTTTGCTGGGGTATCTCTGCCATTGGCAGTCAGCACAATAGTGAGTTTCTAGTCTGCCATGCAGAAACTGAGAATTTAGTTCTTTTTCGGTAACTTTTATAATTTTACGGTGCAAAGCTTGATAGATGGAAATTTAACATAACGAAAGGTTCTTATGGTGATTTACAGGCGTATTTCATTAACCACCGATACGATGGAGTGCAGTTATGGCAATTAAACAGCATTGCTGGGATTCATGAACTAGTTTGGATTTCTAACTTTATTTCCTTCTTCTTCCTATACCCATCGACATTCAATTTACTAGAGGTAGCAGCTGTTGACAAGCCCAAGATGCATCTTTGGGAAACTGGGATTATGAGGATTACCAGGCATCCACAGGTAAATGCTCAACTTTCACTAAAATGTAACCTACCGTTGTAGAAGATACCGACTGAATGATTTCATAATTTGCCTTGTCCCGAAACACCAATGCCTACTTTTAGTTTCAAATCTCTTTCCAAATTAAATTTCAACTATGGATTCAAACCACTTCACTTTGTACCTCGTATTATGTTTTAATTTTCCAGGATATGACACTGGGGAGGGTAGGATGTACGTACGCAGACCTTACTCCTACCTTTGTGGGGTAGAGAGGTTGTTTCCGATAGACTCTCAGGTCAAAAGAAGTGTAATCAAAGCAGATAAGAAGAAAAATAATGACAACAAAATAGTGAGATATACAAAGCAAATGAGGCATCAGGTAGTAGAAAAAATTGAAGAATAAGTACTACTAAAGAAGGAGGAGATGAGAAGAGGAGACTAGCCCCCTTCCTCTCCCACGTAAAAGAACAACAACACTCGGCTATCTCATACTCTTCTACCCTAATACTTGACCTTCATACCCTCTTATCTAGGGTCATGTCTTCAGTAAGCTGAAGATTAGACCCCCGGTTCTTCTATTTTCCAGGATATGACGTAAGTACTATGACAGAGGAGGTTTAGAGTCATGATTTCTATTCATCATTTCTGTAGGGTTCAAGACTTTTCTTTTTTTAGTTTTTTCGTGTAGTTCAGTCTGATATTTAAAATTATATTTCACTTAGGATTCTTAGAATCAAGAATTGGCTCTATCGGTCAATGGTTTTCTTTGAAGGAGTTAAATAAGGCATGTCATAAAGAATAATATCACAAGAAATGACAGGCAGATGTTGCTGCAGAACGAGTCTGTACATGAAAGGAGGTGAAGGTTATTGTAATCCCAGTTCTGCTAATACATAAAAGGAAAGAAACCTACCAAATTGATGAAGCTGTTCCATAAATGAGGATTTAGTAAAGAGGAATCATCTCTAGTCCATTAGAGAAGTATTAGAAACACCCCTAAACTTGGCGCAAATTATTAGTTTCATCCCTGAACTATTGACAGCCTTAAAAACATCCCTCTACTTGACTAACTAAACTTAGATACATCCCTGAAACACTCCCGATATGCAAGTGGTCTCAAACTCTTGTAGGAGCATGGAGTTCTTAATAAAAATCGAGAGAAGTGTTGAAAACACCCCTAAACTTGACGAGAATTTAGGGGTGTATTTCACTAATGTTGCAAGATCGAGGGTGTATTTAGCTTCAATTAGTTAAGTAAAGGGGTGTTTTTGATACCTCTCTCCCTGAAAATCGAGAAAATAAGTGTCTTTGTGCATGTGTGTTACACCACAATCCAGTATTTTTTTCTTTTATCTGCTGTCTCATTACTTGGTATAAGTTATTCCGTCTTTGGTAGCTAATTGAAGCCTCCATTCCCCATATTAGCTGGTTGGGCAGGTGATATGGTGCTTAGCTCACACGCTGTGGATTGGGAATTCAGTTGCAGTGGCAGCCTCAGTAGGTTTGATAGGACATCATCTGTTTGGTGCCTGGAATGGGGACCGGAGGTTAGCCATACGATATGGTGAGGCTTTTGAAGTCGTGAAGAACAGAACGAGTATCATTCCATTTGCTGCTATTCTTGATGGTCGTCAAAAGTTGCCTGAAGATTATTACAAGGAATTTATCAGATTGCCATATTTATCGATAACAGCATTGACATTAGGTGCCTACTTCCTCCACCCCATTATGCAAGCTGCCAGTTATCGGCTACACTGGTAGTACCACTGATGTTACATAACTCGTTTCCATATAAGAAATCGTGATCACGAGTTGTATATTTTTTTTTCCCAATATATATTGGTTACTGTTGTCTATTTAACTACTGTTGGAAAACAAAGAAAGAAAGAAAGAAAGAAGAGTAATAGAAAGGATTCTGTTTAATGTGTTTGAAAGTAAAGTTCCAACTTTTGTTTCCCTTCAAATTCTATATGGTGTAAATCATGATATATGTCCTTGTTATTCCAATTTACATATATGTGAAGGGGTACACTCAAATGGTATCAGAGTTCTCGAGTTTGAGTTATGTTAATGAATTATTATTTTTTGTAGGACGTGATTTATCTCTGTAGATGAACCTGTCTGGTGTAAACTTGGATTACTCCATTTAGCGGCTTTAAGTACCAAATAATTAACTGACGGCAATAGTTTTCATAAACTTATTATGTCTGAAGAAATGATTCATCAAAATAACGAGTTATCATTAACATCGACACATTTGAAATCGTCAAATACTCAAAAGTTCCCCGAATTAATTCATTTAGTGAACTTCAGATATCGAATGATTAAAAAAATGATGCAAATAACAATAATTTTATGGTTAGACAAGGCCTACCTAAAAGGAGCAAGTCAGCCTGGACCAAATCCAAAAATGAAAAAAGAGAATTTTATTTTTATTTTTTTATAAAATAAACACTCTATTCCACTTCTGGTGTTGAGGAAAAATCAAATAAAAGTACACCAAATTCTTTTGACTTTTTTTTACTTTTTGTGAGAATGAAGAATTACATGTGGCCAACTTGAATGATATTTTATATATAAATTCCCTTTGGATTTACTCTTCCTCATGCAATGTGATTGGAAGAGTAGGGAATGAGTAGGTTCACTTAGGATTTTAAAACTAAAAAGGAAAGATTGTAGAAGTATCCTTTAGAATGACTTGACATGCTCCACTTAAACCAATCTGAAGAAATTTCTCACCCGATGTTCGATACTAGTATTGAAGTTTCATCAAATCCAATTTCATATCGAAAAGTTTCATATTAAAGGATAAAATGCTTCTCAATAAGGGAACTATCCAAGACTCGAACTCAAAATTCTGATTATTAACATAAATAAGTAGTAAAATTCTAGTGATACATATACTTCTAATACTTTCTAGGGGAACCTTTTTAATGTGGCATAAATACATCATTCACTTAAAAAGAACATACAAGTACATATATGTCACCACCAAAAATTTATGGTACTATTCCATTATTCTTAATCGGAAATATTAGAATCACGCTTTTGGTCTAAGCAACGCTTTACCCTATGAAGTGAAACTTCATATTGATCAGAGCCTAGAATAAATATCGAAAAATAATACAACTATGTATAAACTATGTAAACCCACCCCCACCCCCCTCACAAACAAAGACTTCATGGGGGTGGAGGATTTGGTTAGTGTGCTTTGTTTATTTCATAAAATTGGACAATATTGGGGCTGAGTTGCACAGTTTAACCAACTATATATCCACTTTATTAAGTTTCTAACCCACTCCATCATTTTTCAATATTCTCTTTTTTGCTTTCTAATTTAATGCCACATTGCCACCAACCTACTTTAATATTGGGTATGTCTTACATTTCTATAACTAAAATCATTCTAACTTCTTATTTAAGCCAATTGCTTAACACATCTCATTATTATTATTATAACTCTCTTTCTATTTATATATATATCTTCTCAATATTTGTGATTTATATGCTATAATAATTCACTATTGATTTCATCTACTAATGGGAAGAAATATGAAGGAAAAATCAGTAGAGAAGTTTTTCATTTTGCCATTCTTTATAGGGTGTAGTTCTGAGTCAAGTGTTAGAGTGACCAACCAACTTGTGGAAACAAAGAATTCAACGCAAATAACAAGTATGGCTTTCTTTCCTTTTATATCTCAACCCCCTATCCCGTCAGAACTCAGTATCTTCTGCTCAAAGTTGTATGCATAGAGAATGTTATTCGAATGTGTCACATTCAGAGGCCAGAGTCAAGTATCTTTTTGTATATGTTGTTATTGTTTTTATCTTTTTGTAACATTGCTACTTTAATTTGTGTGTATGGCTTACTCAAGAAAGACAAGAAGGAGAAGAGAGCTCATCAAATGTAAAAATGAAGAGCTTTTGGGGATTTTGGGCCATGACAAGACCAAGATTTTCACAAAATGTGCAAAGATTGAAAAGGCATTTCAAAGGTTTCTCACAATTATTTGGTGAGTAATAAGCTATTGTCCATTGTATAGCTTTCTCTTTGTAAGATTTCTTGTTCTATCTATACTTCCCCACTTGTCACAAATCCATACAAAAACAAAACTAAAAAGGTCAAATACTTACATGATGATCTTGAAGTTGTTGTCCGTTTTCATTTAGACACATTAACTAAGGTTTTTACAAATAAAACACTTAATATATGACTGATATGTGCCTATTGAATATCAATTATAGTATATTTTACTTATAAGTCCACAACAACTGATGGAGATCTAGGTCGAAAGGACTAGGGCTCATATGAAACAAATTCAAGGTACAATTACGTAATATAGTTTTTACATCAAAATTAGGTGCTTTCTGCAAGACATACCAAATAAAAAGCTTCACACATTATCGCACTCAACTCCAAATGAATTGTGTCACATCAACTTGAAGCATTCAATAGACACATTTCACACATACAACTATACAATCATACATCAGATATCGTCTAATAAGATATGATCTTAGTTGAAATATCTAACTGAAAATTAGTGATTTCTTTAAAAGGTTGTCTATATATTTGACTTATCAAAAACTCTAGCTCAATAGATGATTATGATGATTGTTCACACCGTACAAAAAGATAACAATGCATACAAAATATTCCATTACATACTTAATATCTAACTCAACACTAAAAAATCATATCGCAAGCCAATAACTCATTCCCTCAACCAACATAGAACACTAGTAACAATTTTTAACACCACAAATTTTCACAATCCAATTTTATTTTATTTTTTTTGCACTTTTTATCCTTAAATTTGCCTTCTTTTTTTTTCCAGCGCGAAGAGAAGAGGTAGAGGAAGAGGAAACGGAGATAGAAATAGGATATCCAACCGATGTGAAGCATTTAACACACATAGGATGGGATGGATCAACAACAATAAATCCAATTAAAGGATGGGAAAATTTAAAACCTCCTGAAATTATTTCTTTTCCATCAATTTCTATTAAACAATTTGAACTTGCTATGGCTGCTCAAGCTGGTGAACCTATAGATGTTATTAATACCAATAATTGTGCTTGATTTTTGAAAAATATTATTTGTAATTTTCTCATGCTTCTTGTCTACTAAATTCTAAATCAATTTATATCTTTTTCTACTTTTGTTGAGGATGCAAATTAAGTGATGTTTCTTTTCTCATTTTCCATCTAATATTCGAATTTTGATTAAATTAGAATTCACATCGAAAAGTCCAGCTAAAGACCGCTCACCAACAAAAATAACCCCATAAAGGCTAACAAAAAATGACTCTATATAGAATTCGTTAATAAAAGTGACTCCGTGTAGCATAGCTTCATTAATAAAAGTGACTTTATATAGCAGAACTTCGTTAATAAAAGTGACTCGTTTGGTTTCCTTAATAAAAATAACTCCATATGGTTTCGTTAATAAAAGTGACTCCGTGTTGAACACAAAAGTAAAGTTTGATATCAAACGTGATTTCGTATAGAATTCAATAACAAAAGTGACTCCGTATAGTAATCGGTATAGCAACCACTAATAAAAGTGACTCCATATAACATTCAAACTAACAAAAAAAAAGTTTGCAAAACTTGAAAATCTTTATAATAATTAATGCAAAAAATGAAAATCAATCAAATTCTTCACCTATCTAAAAGAACATAGAAATATTTTTGTGTATATGTATATATATATATATATTTTGTAGGCACCATAGCGAGCCAAAAGTTGATTGAAAAACAAAACAATGGCTTTCTGAGATGCCTAACCCTTTTGAGGTTTTTTCTATTAGATCTTCTTATAAACTATAGTACAAACAACAATTTCCAATACATATTTTCATGATAATTACCTCAAAATAAGATTTGAGATTTTTTCAGAATGTATTGGCCAACGCTGATTGAAGAAGATCTGCTTTGTTTTTTTAGGGTTTCCACTTCCCTTTTACTTATATACACCAAAGGGGAAATTTCCAAGTGTTAATTGGGCTTCTCTAACTTGGAATTATTGGGCTTTAGTTAAAAACAGAAAATTTTGTAAATAGCGTTATTGACAAATCGAGATTTTATGTGTGTATATATATGTGTGATCAACTGTATATGTATGTATATATGTATGTGTTTTGAAAGTAGAAGTTGTTTGTATTTGTGGCGAGCTAGTTTTATCTAATGACCAACAAGTTTTATGGTTGAGTGGAGTGTTAAGTACTCCTCCATTTTTAAGCATAAATCTTAGATTCGAGTCCTCCTAAATATAGAATCGTCTTTGTTAGGGAACGTTTTACCCCTTAAGTAGCAGAAACGATGTGGGAAACCCAGAAAAAAAAACTATATTATATAATGAGGTATACAATATTGTTACACACTCAACTTAGTTTGATTGAGCCTGAAACACTACTCTACCTATTTGTGTTTTACTCGAGCTGAGGGTTTATCGGAAAAGGAACGAGAGTATAAGACGGTGTATACACTACCACCTAGCTATTTTCATATCTGGAGTGGGCCTTTTGGCCTCAAAACATGCAAAGAAAGCCAAACACAAACCCGAACTGGCCCAATATCCCAAATCAATCCAAAATTGACGACTAATCTATCTCTCGTTAGATCAAGAACAGGAAAAAATTCAACACAATTATTTTTTTCCAGATTTTGCTACAATTCAATCTCAAATTTCAAATCTCAATATCTACAGGTATTAATTTCAGCTCAAAAATCTGTTTTTTTGTTAAAATATAGTTCGAATTTAATTTTTCTACCATTTTTTTTGTTGCAGAAAACAGATTTGCTATTGCACTGTGAGATCAGGGACGAAAATGGGGTTTTTGGTCACAACGCTAATTTTTGTGGTAGTGGGTGTTATTGCGTCTCTATGTGCCAGAATATGCTGCAATAGAGGGCCTTCTACTAATCTGTATGGTCAAATTTCTTTAATTTGCCTTTGTTTGCTTCAAATTTGAATATCATTATTTGTTTAGGGTTTTTTATATTTGTTGTTGTTGTTTATGAAAAAAGATGAAATCTTTGGCATAGAAAGCTGAGTTATTAATGTTGAGTTTGATTTCTGGTATAAAACACTGGGTTATTGATAAAATGTCTGCATTACTGATGTGGTTGTTCGGTTTCGATTTCTTTTCTTTTTGTTATTGCTTTAGGTCTTGTTTGGTTTGTTTTGTAAGAAAAAAACATTTTTTGGCAATAGAACTTTGCATCAGAGCTCTGAGGGCCGGAGCTATGGTCTTTAAGTTTTTGGATTTTGAATTCTAGAAAAGATAAGCTTAATGGGTTCTGAATAAGTTAGTTATACATATCAAAACATAATTGAGCTGAATTTACTGGGTTCTGCCGAACCTGTAGGAAGAACAATAGCTCCTCCCTTGTTATGCATCTATAGAGAAAATGCGTAATCCTTTTGGGGTGGGTGGGAGGGGTGTCAGTATTGTGTTTTGTGTTATGCTTCGTTATCGCTATCAGCTATTTCTGTTCTATCGTTCTTCTAGGCACTTATATTAACTATATGTCTTTAATCCAGGCTTCTTTGTTTTCTAGTGTTTGATGCATATCCAGGTCAATGACTATTATATCTGATGGATCATGGAGATCTTGATTGATCTTTTTTCTATAAATTAAATTGACTCGTATAGTGTTTCATGATTCAGGCATTTAAGATGACGAAAGAAACAAATGTAATTGTACTTGAAAATGCAAATTGCGATTTTTGTCAGTCCGCTGTTTACTTTTGCTAATTTTGTCTTAATTACTCTACCGAGGTCTCCAGGATTCAACCCATGATGCATTAAATTCTAAGCTAGTGTCTTTCCGCTGAAATAGTTTTGGTCTCTGTTTCTAATAGCTAATTGAATTTTGTGATGCAGGTTACACTTGACATTGATCATCACGGCTACAGTATGCTGTTGGATGATGTGAGTTTGCCTCCCTCTTCTCTCTTTCTCTCTCTCTCTCTCACACACACACACAGAGAGACACAAACACGCCTGTGCGCTCCCGTACACATCTACACATGCACAAACATGTACAAAGTAAAGCAAAATAAGACATAACATGATACTATTTCCTCAAAACATGACAGCATGAGTTCATGTGTTTGACTTGAAGCCTGGTAGTAGTAAGATGTTTCCCTGACTTTGCTTTGTCATGTTTCCTGTATTTTATCATTTGATGTTCAAAGGGATTATATAATAGAGAAATTACTAATGCAAAGTGTGCGATACCTATAAGATTATCTTTTTGCTGAGGAATTTTACGATTTGCATGACTAGTTGAACATAGTGCTTATGCTATTACATCTGCTTGACTTCCTCATAAAGTATGAAATATATGCATATTTGCGTGCGTTATATCTGAACCTACTCTAAGAGGCTTAAATATTTTTCGATCAGGTCTGTTGATATATAATCTAAATTTGGAAGTGTCTTGGTTGACTTTTCTGTCAAAAAATTTCATTTGTAATGTCAACAACTATGCTTTGTGAATACTATCCTAGCCTCACAAATCCCGTAGCTAATCCTTATAATTATCTAATTTTGTCTTATAAATGAAACATAGAAATTCTTCTTTTGGGATCAATGTGATGTAGATTTGCTATATATACTCTATACTTTCGAAGTTTCACATTTTGGAGAGTAAGTAATGTGCTGGAATCTATATATAAACCTTATGCCGCTCGAACTCTTCAAAACTGTTGTCACACTTGTAATCCTCCAAAAATGCATTGCTTTTGGAAGATCCGTCAGACCGTCACGCACCCAGTGATATTTTGAAGAGTCTGAGCAACATAGATATAAACTTTGATGCTTATGTGATTGACAAGAGAGGGTAGCTCAACTAGAAGCACCCTCCACCTCCAATCTTACAGTTTGGGTTTGAGTCAACATATTACTATATCCAAAAAAAAAAACACTTCGTGCGACGTCATTATTTATCTCTCTTAATTGTCATTAGATGAATGCACTTGTAACGATTTTCAATGCTCTCTATCATGGGTTCATTATTTTTGTAATTTTCTTTTCAAGAATCATGGGGCTGTCAACTACTTTTACTTCATTCAGCTTTGCTTCTCTGTATTGGAAGATGAAACATGTTCAATTTTCATCCATTCGTCTTGGTGCTTGTCTCAAGACTTTCCCGGATGGGAATTGGGAACTACCATTCCTTCACACACACACAAACATACACAGGCTCTCTCTCTCTCTCTCTCTCCTTGTCCCCCTGCTTTATGTGCGTGAAGGAATGGTAGTTCTGCTAAGCGGAGAGTGCCAATTTTGCTAGTCTTTGATAAGCTTCTGATCCAATGATGAAATTTTATTGTTGCTATGCTTTTTTTCCTTTTTCGCGATAAGAAATGTTTTTATTCTTGACTTTCTAAAGAATATGGGGGGGTCGGGTCCTGTTCTTTTTCAATACTCCTTCCAGTTCATTTTATATGGGGGTGTTGGACTGTACACAGTGGTTAAGAAAGTAAGATTACCTTTTAGTACATACCAACAGTACCATTAGAACTTGTGGTTTTGATTATAAGAGCATGTCAGTAGCGACTAAAAAGTTTTAACGGTATAAATTTTTTCCATAGAGAACCGTCACAAGTCTTTTCACTTGGGTAGTGATTTTGAGAATCCGAAGATGCAAAAAACAAATTCTTGAATAGTAGAACGGGTTCAAATGGAGAATAATGACTATCGATTCATAAAGCTGACCCCAATTAGTTTGAGATCGAGGTGTAATAGTAATACAGTCAAGCCTCTCTCTAACAATCATCCTTTATAACAATATTTCACTATAACAACCATATTTTCTGGGGAACCGATCTTTCATGTTATGTATCAAGACAAACGATGTTATTATAGAGAAGTTTAACTTAGTAGAAGTTGTTATTGCACGTTACATGTACTGGAGTAATAGTTCTCTATATGCTATTATCGTTGTTAAATTGGGATTTAGCATTCAACAATGAGAAGAAAACTCATCGTTTCATGTTTTTTTTTCTTGGATAGGTGGGCAATTGTGTATCTTGCGCAGCTGAAACCACTCATCGTTCCAGTTTTGAGTGAAGGAGAATAAAACGCTCTCGGAAGCTCTCGTTGTGTATTTTTTTGTGGATTATTTGAGTGCAGGGAAATACTTGGAAGTCACATTTGTATCACTATTTATGTGCTTGACATTGATTTCATATTTTTTTGTATAATGTTCACAACTTATTTTCTAGTTTCACCTCATTTAGGGTGTCTTCTTTATAAGCTTGGACTACATTAAGTATCTTATTGAAGAAAACAATAAGCACACGACATTTGTCGATGAGAGTTCATATAGCCAACCTCATCTCGTTTGAGATTGAGGCGTAACTATTGTTGTATTTGTCTAAACTCTTGGCCATGAACATATTATTTCAACTTTTGTAATTTTATAGATGTGTCAATACAATAACATATTTGTTGTAACATCGAGTGTGGATAAATTTTTACCTGGTGCGATCGAAATCGCAAGAGAGAAGAAAGATGGAAAAGTAAGGAACATGAGGTCCTACTTGTTGAAACTTTCTAAAACACAAACTGTATTAATATTTTTATTGTCTGCTTACTTTAAAAGTTGAAAAGAAAACAAACCAAAACATTTTTTATTATATGGTCATATGTTCAAACTAGAGCTCCAAAAATAAAATTAAAAATGACACCAAAAAAAAAAACACTTAAATAGTTTTTTATTGATTTTCTTTGGCTAGTTTACACATGCACAAAATAAAATTGATGATTTGAGAATGAACACGTGTGGTGGATTTAGATACGGAGATTTTCCATCCATTTTAAATAATAAAAAACTTTAACAACTATACGAATCACGACCGAAGAGGATCAAATATACCTCTAAATTATTTAAAATGGGTCAGTCTTACTCGATTCGTTACATTTTTTGCTAAATAATATCCTTATTATTACGGTTTTTGCTATAAAATAAAAAAAAGAGGTCCTACAACTAGCAAAGCAGCTCCCAAAATATCATTTTTATTAAATAAGAAAAACAATTTAATTTTATCCTTGAACTATTCAAAAATATAAAATTGTTTGCCCTCCATTAAGAACTCGAGACAAGTACTCTTAATTGTCAAAGACTTAGCAAAAACTTATGAAAATTATGAGATTAAATTGGTCCTTTTCCCACGTATGATTCAAAAAACAATATAATCAATGGATTAGTATGTATTGGCTTGTTTGGATAGAAAATACGTTATCTCGAAATTAGTCAGAACTAATTTAGTTGATAATATGATAAGTGATTCAATAGTTATTTTAATTTCTTCTATGCTTATAGTAATTAGTAAAACCAAACAAGACCTTAGTTCATCTCATAAAAGGATAAATTTTGTACATTAAAAAGAAATCACGTGAATTTGCAAACATAAGCAATATTCAAGAAGCAAATTAAAAGTGGAAAATTACTGTCTAATAATGTCAACATACACACAATTTATGTCACCTTTTTTCATGTGCATGAATATTTTATATATATAGAAGAGTGAAGCCAACCAGGACGATCAAGGGTATAAAAGTAATTTTACCACTAGGTTTATAGCTCTAGAACCATCAGCTTATACTAATAGGGACATTCTAGATATTTTGCTCTACCTACGTGGCAACCTATCATCCACACATTATTCTACTATTATATAAGAGGGAGTTTATGATGGGACATTCTCCCATCATAAACTCCCTATATAATAATATAATATAATAAATCATTTTTTCTACTATATAATATATATAATATATATTTATTTTTCTACTATATAATAAAATGGAGTTTATATAATATATAATATAATATAATATATACATAAACTCCCTTTTATTATATAGTAGAAATAAATATAATATATATATATATATATATATATATATATATATATATATATAAAATATAATATAATAAATAATTTATAAATGACTTAAAATATTTAATATTTAAAAGATATATAATAAAATAGATTGACTCTCAAAATTCTATCCGGGTCACATATATTGGGACAGAAAAAATAACATATATCATTTTAAAATTACCAAAAAAGTATTATAAATAATAATAATTAACAACTTAAAACATCTGAAAGACATTTTAAAAGGGTTAATTTTATAATTTTATCCATATCACATAAATTAGGACAAAGTGACCAGCAATGTAGGTTATTTGAAAGTTACATAAAAATATTATAAATCACAATAATTAATAGCTTAAAACATTTTTTTTTTAAATGCAAATTTGGAGGACTCTTCAAAATTCATTTGTCTCACATAAATTGAGACAACAAAAATAACATATAGTGTGTCCATTTTAATTTATTTGTCTTAATTTTTTTTATATTTAAAAATTGCGTAAAAATTCTATAAATCATGATAATTGACAACATAAAATATGTTTTGAAAAAGATACAAAAAATTGCATTGATTCTTGAAGTTAATCTATCGTAAAAATACTATAAATCATGATAATTGACAAGATAAAATATTTTTAAGAAAAATACATATGAAAAATTTCGATTGATTCTTGAAATTAATCTATCGTTAAAATTTATGTATAAAATACAATAAATCGTGATAATTGACAACTTAAAATATTTATTAAAAAAACACAAAAAAAGAATTGACTAATTTTTAAAATTAATCTATCAATGTCACATAAAATGAGATAAAAGTAGTAATATGTATTATTTAATGTGAAATTATTGAAAACTACGTAAAATGTATTGTAAATCTTAACAATTAACAACATTTGCTTAACTCTTGAAATTTTATCTATGTTACATACATTGAGACACGCGGAGTAATATATATTAAATATTTACAAATTATGTAAAAATATTATAAATTACATTATTAACGACTTAAAATATTTTAAAATCATATTAAATTTAAATAACTCACTATATTTTATTTGTGTCACATACATTAGGACAAAAAATAATAGTTATTGCGCCCGTGCGTAAGGGAGTTTATGCCCAAGTATAATATATAATATTTAATGACTCTCCAAATTTCATTTGTGTCACATAAATTGAGACAACAAAAATAACATATATTGGGTCCATTTTAATTTATTTGTCTTATTTTTTTAGTTTTTTTTTATATTTACAAATTGCGTAAAAATACTATAAATCATGATAATTGACAACATAAAATATGTTTTGAAAAAGATACAAAAAATTCCACTGATTCTTGAACTTTATCTATCGTAAAAATACTATAAATCATGATAATTGACAACATAAAATATTTCAAAAATAAATACATATAAAAAAATTTGATTGATACTTGAAATTAATCTATCGTTAAAAATTATGTATAAAATACAATAAATCGTGATAATTGACAACTTAAAATATTTATTAAAAAATCAGAAAAAAATAAATTGACTGATTCATAAAATTAATCTATCAATGTCACATAAAATGAGACAAAAGTAGTAATATGTATTGTTTAATGTGAAATTATTGAAAACTACGTAAAATGTATTATAAATCTTAACAACTAACAACATTTGATTGACTCTTGAAATTTTATCTATGCTACATACAATGAGGCAAGCGGAGTAATATATATTAAGTATTTAAAAATTACGTACAACCATATTGCTTTCTGTAGGCTTCGAATTATCGTGGTCATTTTTTTAAGCTGATATAAGTTTTGTACATTTTCTATTTTTTTTAATATTATAAATTGCAATAATTAATAATTTCAAATATTTTTAAAAATATATTAAAAATTGAGTTGGTTTCGGGAATTTTATTTATACTATATAAAATGGGACAAAGGAAGCAACATTTATCATTTACAAATGACTTAAAAAGCATTTAAAATTATAATAATTACCAATTTAATGTCACGACCCGAGCCTACACCCTGGACGTGGCCGGCACTCGAAGACCATTGCTGGTCCCCAAGCGAACCCTCATCCTGGCTGACTACAAGCGGAAAAACTGATTCAAGCATACAAAGCTTAAAAACTGAAATAAAAGTTCATAAAACTTAAATACAAACTTTAAGTCCAAAGAAAACTCTGTATAATAAAATATATACAACTCGCCATAAAAAGGCAACTTTAGTCTTTAAAACATTTAATAAAATAAATGATACAAACTTCTCAACAATACTGACTATCTATGAAGCCTCTAACTGATAAAGATGGAAGTCGGGACAAGACCCACGACATCCTAACAACTGATATAACTGAAAGGTAAATGAAATCCTCCGAAAGCAAGGAGGCTCACCATAGCTAACTCGAACTCTCGGATGTATCAACGAAGCTCCTGTTGATGATCCTGAATACATGTGTCTGCATCATGAAAAGATGCAGGCCAAATGGCTCAGTACGTGGAATGTACGAGCATGTAAGAGGAATTCTAAAACATAAACATAAGCTTGAAACTTAATAGAAATGAAACATACTTACCTCTTCTCAAACTTACTCAACTCAAGGAATACTCAAGGGTACTCAAAACTACTCAAACTTACTCAACTCAGAAGTACTCAAGGATAAGATACTCAACTCCTAGATTAGATACTCAACTCAAGGATATGATATTCGACTCAAAGATATGATATTCGACTCTAGATACTCAACTTTGGATACTCAACTTTGAATACTCAACTAAATATGACTGAACTCATTTCAATATAAAGCAATTTAAAACAAGTGCAATATAGAGAAACAAACTGTTTAAAAACATATTGTCAAATCTGTGTGTATGCAAGGATACAACATAACTCTGAAATGTATATAAAAATATAATAAACTGATGTATATAAAAATACAATAACTTCTGTGGGAGTTTCTCTAACCGACAACCATCACATAAGAGCTATAGTGATGATACAGCGATCTACCTCACGCTGCCAGCGCATCCTATACCCGGCCAAAGGTATAGAACCTGAACTACTAATGGATCCACTAGTCTATGTGAAAAAGGTTCATCTAAAAAGTATGACCCTTTTCTACCCATGATGGCTACATGGTTTATGGGGGCTGTGAGTTATCTGAACTCTCCCCCATATCGGTGCTCAATACTACTCCCAAAATATACTAGCTCTTATGTTTTAAAAACATACTTCTTTCTGCTGATTTGAGATAATTAGTCAAAAACTTAGCTCAAAGGCTATATTGGAAATCTCAGTTTCCCTACTTGCTTTATTTAAAAAGCTGTTACTCTTTTCTGAAAACTAGCCCGAAGGCCCTTTGTAAATCTCAGCTTCCGTTCTTATTTAAATGTGAAAACATTTATAAACTCTTTGGGAATACATAGTCCCCATATACTTTTGAAGAAAAGGACTTCAAACTTTACTCTTTACTCTTTACTGAACTCAAAACTTAAGTCTTAAAACAAAGTTAAAACGTTTGTAAAAGACTTCTTAAAATATGGTTC